CTGAATTCATTCAGAAGTTTATCCCTATCTTCCTTCAGCTCTATTATTACCTTGTTTGTGTGTTCTTTAAATTCAGTGAATTCTTTTATCATATTCATCATTGTTTTTTTGAGTTCCATGTCCTGCATTGTCTCTAGGGGATTCTCATTGTGCTCCTCTAGAGGATTACTGGTATTTGGTGGGGATATGTTATTTTGGTTTTTCATGTTATTATTTTTTCTCTGTGATTTTGACATGTGAATTTCTTTTGTAGTTTCTGACTCTTGTGTGATACTCGGGCCTTCAAGTTTAGTTCTGCTTCTTTTATTTTTGAGCTTTATGTGTCTTTGTGGTTTACTTTTTGGGTATGAAGAGCTGGTTCGTCTTAGCTTCTGGTTCTCTCTTTTGATTTTATATTGTCGAGGCCGGATTGATTTTGTCTTCAGGAGTTCCGCGGTGGCCCAACTCCAATGTGGATCAGAAGTTTTCAGACTTTCTCCTTAGGTCTGGAATCTTCTAAGAATGCTTTTGGCCTCAGGAACTTGGGTGGCACTGACCTGAGACCCTTGCCGTGGATGCGCCACGCAGGGAAGCAAAGGCAGATGGGGAGGGAAGAAGCCCCAAGATTTCCCAGGGAGTGGATTGAGTAGCTGGGTTGTACTGGATGCAAAGGGTCGGGGGGAGTAAAGGTAAGCCTCGGAGCCCTAGAAAGAGGCTGTCAGCCCCAGAAAGAGGCTGGCGGGTGTTGGAGGACCAGGGAAGTAGAGCGAGGTGAGGGCAGGGCCAGGACCAGAAGTGGTGCTCCTGGAGCCCAAGAAAGGGACTGAGTTGCTCTGGGTGAGAAGGGTCAGGAAGCAGTATTGGTTCCCCAGGTGTCTGGGGCCCCAAGACTAGGAATGGCGCAGGGCCCAAACTAGGTGTATAACAAGGCGGGAGGGATGGAAGGGTGAATGTGGCTTGGGGAGTCCCGGCGCGGAGAGCTGCTCTGTAGACTTACCCCAAGAGGCCTGAGGGTAGTCAGATTCTGCATTTTTAACAAACTTCCACTGCTCGTGGTCTGTGGAGTAGACTGAGAAGGTGATATTGGTTCTTGGGCCCTGCAACAGAGCCCCTTTTTTCTTGTGTAAAACCTAGATTTGTATATATAGAACGGCGGGAGGGATGGAAGGGTGACTGTGGCTTGGGGAGTCCCGGCAGCTGCGCTATAGACTTACCCCAAGAGGCCTGAGGGTAGTCAGATTCTGCATTTTTAACAAACTTCCACTGCTCGTGGTCTGTGGAGTAGACTGAGAAGGTGATATTGGTTCTTGGGCCCTGCAACAGAGCCCCTTTTTTCTTGTGTAAAACCTAGATTTGTATATGACACCTGAGCTAGGCTCAATGTACAAGCTAATTCTTGCAGCATAGAGTTTCCTTAGCTTTTTACCATTTTTAAAATTAAACTTGTTCCTCAACAATTTCATATGTGTGTATACAATGCATCCTGATTACTTTTGCCATCACTCTCTCTTATCTCTCTCTCCTCACACACTTGAGAGATGAGGAATCCCCTCCTTTCTACAAGTTCTTTTCTACATTCATGTCTTTTTGTTTGTTTTGATTCACTGATTTTAACCAAGGTTATCTGTATGACTAGGGGTTTACAAATATCTATTAGAGCCTGGTGGGCTCGCTGTTGGGTACACAGCTGAAAATAATGATTGTCCCTCTCCCCGAATCCATCAGTAACCAATAGTTTAGCAGAGTGTAGGGCCCCCCAACTCCCAATCTATGATTGCCTATTAACAGTCCCAGTCTTGTGCAGGCCTAGTTCAGGAATCAACAGCTACTGTCCATGTTTGTAGTAGCTAGGGCTTACCCTGAAAATAGTATTTCACAGCCCTTTGCCCTGTCTTCTGGTTCTTATGTTATTTCTTCGCCCTCTTCTGTGATGTTCCTTGAGTTTTAGAGAAGGTGGTATGAATGTCCTATATAGAGCTGAGAACTCAACTATCATTTATTATACCCTGAGACAGCCATGAGTCTCTGTAAAGAGAAGCTTCACTGATTAAAGTCTGAGAGAAGGATTTATCTAAACATAAATATTTACAATGTGATTTGACATCGTGCCAGTTTAGCAAAACCATAGCAGTAAGTTCCTTGCTAGGGCCTATGACCTCTCCAGCCATGGGTTTTTGACCAGGTTTAGAGTACCAGGTATGTGTTCCTGCTTATTGAGTGGGTCTCAAACCCAATCTGAGAGCAGCTGGTTTCCCTCATGATGGTCATGTCACTGTTACACCAGTAGGCACATCTTGCCTGGCAGGTTGGTATGGTAATTCATAGACTTCACAGCTGGGTAAGACAGCTGATGACTTTTTTACCCTCAGCAGCCTGCAGAGAACCTTCCAGTACTCTGAAAGCTAGCCAGCAGGGAGGAAGCTCCCAGATAGGGATCCAGCTTGATTTCTTTAAATCTGTGGCATCTAGTCTGGTGGGCAACCAAGAGGAATGGCAAGATGTTTTATTTTGGGGGTCTTTAGGGCCTTCCTGACCAACAACTCATAAGGAGGTATCCCATACCTGGCACTGGGATTTTTGTTTAATAATCCAAGGATTCTAAGAGCAGCATTATCCAGCCAAATAGGCTGTCTTCCTTCTAACTCTTTATTTTTTAATTTACATATTTTAATTGGCTTCAAGGTAGTATGTTTCCATATGCCTCTTCCATATATCCTTCATTTTGGTTACCCCTCCCTCCTAGCCCCCTCATCTCCTCCATCCCTCCAGCCCCATTCCTATGTAAACCTTTCCACCCCCAGTGTTCCCTCTCTACTTTCACATCAAAGATGCTCTACTAGTTCTCATCCCTTAAAGGCCTTTCCCCAAAGACCCCTCTCTAGTTCCTGGCTTTTACAGGTGCTCTAAGTTAAATACATAAACATAGAGATTTGAATCTAGGACTCACATGTGGCATATGTCTGGGTTACCTCATTCAGTATAATTTTTTCTAGTTCATCCACTTACCCCAAAATTTCATATACCAGTAATTTTACAGGATGAATAGTAATAGAGAGATGGCTGATGAAAGCACCTAAGTGCTGTGAAGGATAAGCATCAAGCTGGGTGGGAGACTGGAATTCTGTTCTCTGCTCTACCCTACTGCCAAGTTATTTCATCTGGGAGCAGTTGTTCTTTAGGCTATTGCATCCACAGAGTGGGGTAATAGTGCCTGCTAGCTGTGTCACACAGGGTGTCTGTAACTTTCAAAGAGGGTCACAGGATGAGGAGACCTTGGTAAGAAACACGTCAGTTGACTTCATACAGGCCAACAAGCTCACAGGAACAGGAGGCAGGGCTTTGCTTCTCATCTCATAAGTACACAGTGTAGCAGGCTAGTTTCAGAGGATACCCAGTCTCATGGAATCTTTGTATCAGCCTCATGAGGTCAGCTGGTACAGGATCATGAGTCCCTACTTGACTGATGGACCTATAATGGGTTATTGTAGGAAAGATGGTTAGATTCATCTACTCCAGTGGTTGCAAAACCTGTATCATGTCCCGCAGTTCTATTTCCCAGCCCCATCTCTGTTTTCCATGGTCATAGCTTTTGGTAGGCACAGGCTGAGGACCACTGATGCCACCTCATCGCTTTTCAGTTGGTAAATGAGGTAACTAGAGCTCAGGAGATTAAAATTATCTAGCCACAGTCACAAAGCTTGCTCAGTCACCAGCCTCCAAGGTGGGTCTTCCATGATTGCTAAAAGCTGGTGTCTGTGCCCTTCGGTAGCCACCACCAACATGGAATAGGTATAAGTGAGAATTTGCCTTCCAAAGATAGGTCATAAAAGACATGGTGGAAATTCTCAGCCCCCAATCTCTCAGAATATTATTATATATATTTACCAACTTTCCAAAAAATCCACCCAAATTAAACAAAATAAATGACATGGTAGTTTCCACTTTGGGCTCGCTTGCTCTGGGGGCAGCAGGCTCCCGTGTCATGAGAACCATAAAGAAGTCCATGTGGCACAGCAGTACTGGGCACCTGATAGTGAGAGATGTGTAGTCGGTTGCGGTGTTCTGTAGAACAAATTAAAAATGACCCATCTCCTTTTTCTGTCCTACAGCTCAGACAAATGGTGGTGGGAGTGCCGGGATGGAAGGGATCATGAACCCCTACACAGCCCTGCCCACCCCTCAGCAGCTCCTGGCCATCGAGCAGAGTGTCTATAACTCTGACCCCTTCCGACAGGGTCTCACCCCACCCCAGATGCCTGGAGATCACATGCACCCCTACGGTAAGGACTTAGTCCCCACAGGCCCCTTGTACAACTTGCTTGTGTCAGCTTCTCATTTCTTTCTGAACATATCCACAGTTTCTAGAAACTGGCCAAATTGCTAAATCAGAATAAGTGTCCCGCAAATTTTGCTAGCATCACCTACCTACAGGTACAGTAGATTCCCACGGACAATCTTCAGTGATGTTTCCATTTGTCCTCATTTTTAAGGCTCCTCTGCTGAGCCTCCCCCATGTTTCTACTTTCTATTTAAGCCAGTGCTCAGTGGGTGAGGCCTGGAGACACTAGTGTGGTGGAGGGGGTGCTAGAGTGAGTGGAAGGCTCAAGTTCAGCCTCTGGCTCCAGCCCAGGCCACTATGTCTTTATATAAAGAAGGTCAGTGGTACTTGTAATGTATGCTTTAATATGTGATAAATTGGGAGGGGGTGCTAGAGTGAGTGGAAGGCTCAAGTTCAGCCTCTGGCTCCAGTCCAGGCCACTATGTCTTTATATAAAGAAGGTCAGTGGTGCTTGTAATGTATGCTTTAATATGTGATAAATTTCCCTGAAAATTAAATGGTGAAGTTTGGTTCAGCAATTCTGTAAATCTTTAGTATCAGAAACCTAAAGTTCACATAGATGTTGTCAACTTCTTTCCTTTAATTAAAGCAATTTCAGTGGCTAGGGACAAGGAGACGACTTGGTGGGTAAAATGCTTGTAGTGCAAACATAAGGACCTGAGTTCTGAGCCCCAGCACCCATGTTGAAGTCAGCCATGGCTATACATATCTATAACTCCAGTGCTTGGTATGTGTAGATGGGCAGATCTGTGGAGCTTACTGGTCAGTCTAGCAGAATGGTGAGCTCCAAAGTCACTGAGAGACCCTGTCTCAAAAAGTAAGATAGAGCGCAATCAAGGAAGATATCTGCCATAAACTTATTGCCTCTACATGCACACATTCTTACATATGTGCACACATGTATACATGAATGTATACAAACACATATACCATGCACACATTAAATTTTTTTTACTAAAATTACCTTTATTTTGCCATGCACACATTCAGCAAATATGTACAGAGATGTCTTCGCAGTCCTTCATTAACCTGCCTCCATCCCACATATGTTCTAGATCTCGATCTCCCTCT